AGTAACAGCAGGAGCAGCGGCTGCCGCCGGGCGCCACCGGGGGCCGCCATGGGCACCAGGGCCACGGGATCGAGAGCCCCGAGGGGTCGGGTGGTGGGGCCGCCGGAGGATGGGCGCAGGGGAAAGCGCTGGGGGCCGGCGTGAGAGCGGCAGATCCCTCGGTCAAGAGGCCCAGCAGCTGCGGTGCTCGCGGCAGAAAAGAGACCCTGCGGCCGGCGGCGCCCGTCACGTGAAGCGTCGCCTCACCCACGCCATCACGTGACCTCCCAGATCTCGCGAGAGTGCGCGGTGGCCGGCGGCCGTGCGCCTTCCAGCGCGGCGTCCTCCCCGCGCGCGGCGCTCGCTTCCCACTGGCCCTGGAGTCGGGTGCGTGACACCGCCAGGCGGGTGATCGCGGAGCCGCGTGACTCGGGCCCGGCTCCAAGGTCCCTGGCCCAGTTCTCCGCGCGGCCCGAGGCGGAAAGTGGGCGGTGGCTCGGGGTAGAGGAGGCGTCCCGGGAGCCTGCAGGTGAGGGGGCGGGAGGCGGGGCTGTAGGGGGTCCCTGAGCCACCAGCCGGCGGCCGCCAGCGGTTAAGATGAGTGTGAACCCAGGGACGTGCCGAGCGGCCGGCGCGGTGGAGACTCGCGCTCCTAGTGACCCAGCGACTGTGAGGGGGCGTCCTCGGCGGGGAGAGGACTGGTCCCACCCGCGAGGAGCGAGGCTTTCCGCAGGAAGGAACCTTTTGGAGGGATTAGGTGGTAGTTAGGACGCGACATCCCGACGCTTCTAACGTTGGGTCTCCTCTGCTCCACTGTTCTCACGGAGGATGAACGCGAAGGTTAGGAAGGAGGTGGGATGGTTGAGCACGCTTTGTGAATAGTACACTTCATATTTGAAATCAAAACAAAAACCCTCTTTTTAAACACAAAGTACAGAATTTACTTAGACAAAAATCTTACTTGGAGGAGATTCAGAGGTTACGGTGCTCCCCAGCCGTGACACCCGCCTGGAGATGAACAGGAGTGGGGGTGGCGTTTATCACGAGTTAGGAAGCACCAGTCCGTTCCGCAGAACCCATCCATTCCGCAGACAAGGAAACCGCCGTCTCTGTTTCTGGAACCTTCCCTCCCTCCATCCCTCCTGCCTGTGGTTTGCCTGGACTAGAGGCTCTCTGTTCCCTTTCCCTTTCCTCCTCCTGCTGCCCAGGCCCTGGCCCCGGTCACGCTTACCCTCCCCAGATTCCAGCCTTCGCTGCCTTGCCCCTCCTTCCTGATCGTGTCATCTCTTTTTTCCTTCGTTCTTACATTTATTCGCTTTTTGTAGATGTTGTCCAGTTTCCCTTCCCTTCCCTCCAGCTTCTAAACATGGAATCAGCTGGAAAAAGTCATGAAGCGGAGGAGCCAATGGGCTCCGAGAGAAAGCAGAGACTTGTTGGGCTGTGCTCTGTTGTTTGGGGCAGGAACTAAAGAGTAGGTTTGGTGGTACCTAGTTTGTGTTCTCAAGGATCTTTTTGGATTTTTTTTGTTGGTTGTTGTTCCAGATGGGGCAGGTGTTTAAACAGCAGAATTCCGCTCGACTAGGTGAAGTGCCACCCAATTGAGGAACATTGCAGGAAAGAGAAACTATTCAGTCGAGGGTCTGTTTCTACTTTCACTGTGAAGTCGTTTGAGAACAATAATTTGTTAGCATGTGGTATTGGTCCAGTATGTGAACATGGTATTTGAGCCTGGGTTGTCTCTACGAAGTAGACTGTTAAATCCAGAGGTACATTGGAGGAATTCTAAAATATTTTCATTTTCTCCCGATAATGAGAAACTACCAAATAGCCCTAGCCGGTTTGGCTCAGTGGATAGAGTGTCTGCCTGCGGATTGAGGGGTCCTAGATTCGATTCCTGTCAAGGGCACATGCCTGGGTTGCAGGCTCGATCCCCAGTGTGGGGTGTGCAGGAGGCAGCTGGTCAATGATTCTCTCTCATCATTGATGTTTCTCTCTCTCCCTCTTCCTTCCTCGCTGAAAGCAATAAAAAAATTAAAATCTACCAAATAATCTTGAGTGTAGAAACAATAAAACCTCTGAATTGTCTTTTCCACTTGAAGCTCCTTCCTATGTTGGGAGAATTCCTTCCTTTGTGAATATGGGTAGTAGACAGGGCTCCTGGTAGAAACTGAAAACAAAACAAAAACAAAGACAGATGATCACTTTTCCAGCCTTCCTAGCAGCTAAGGTCTGAACTTGGCCAGAGTTCAGCCTGTTAGACTGAATCAGGAATTAAGTGGTGGCAAAGAAGCTCTATGCCCGAGAATCTGGTGTTTGGTGGTGATAGCGGCTGCAGCCTTAGCCAAAGGGAATTTCTGGAGGCAGCTGTGAAGTGCTGCAACTCCCTGGGTTTGCAGTATGTGTTTAGCTGTGGTGCTCCCTGCTCTCTCATATCTGCTGTTTCCCTGGCATTTTTCTGCATCCTTTTTGGAAATCCTGTGAGCTACTCAAAGTCTTTTCAGCAAGTTATTCTTCTGCTTAGATCAGTCAGTGCCCATTTCTATTGTGTACAACTTCACAGGATCTTTGCCCAGGACATGCTTTGTGTACAGTTTTCTCTTTTTAATATTATAATCTCATAACCTCATTAAAGACCAGAAGTAATTTATGTCTGCAATAGAACAGGGTATAAAAAACAAAGTCAAAGACTGAAAATGAAAGCAAACATTATATGTTGTAACATTTTTATAGAGTATGATAAAATAATATGGTGGTTTTTTATTGTTTGCTTGGTTTTGTTGTTTTTGAATCCTCGATATGGGCTGAGTCTAATCTGATTGAAGGGAAGACATGGAAAATCAAACCCAATGAATGACTCCATGTCTTCTGACTTCTTACAGGGGGCCAGGGAGCTTTTTTTTTTTTTTTTTTTTTTTTTTTAAATAAAGCAATGGGGGCAGTAAGCAATACAGAGATTTGCTTCAGAGTTGCTTAGCAGAGTTGAGGAGTAAAACTTAGACATTGCTTTGATAATAATGAATAGTATCAACACAATTAAAGGCAAGGGCCTTTTTGTATCTGAAATAACTAAAGCTCCAAAGCTGGGAATGCATATTTCCCTGAAGGCTTGTGCCACTGGGAGGAGGGTCTGGTAACTTATAAATGGGCTCAGTATCTGAATTAGATAAAGTAATGGTTGATAGGAAGTAAAATTGAGATGAGCAGGGTAAGCAAGCAGTCTGTGCCTTTTTCCTCCCAGTTACAATTTTTCTTGAGAATTGGTGAGCAAAAATAGTAATTTTGAATAGAGATGTAATTTTTTATTTTCTAACTTTTGAAATACATATTTTTTTATTGATTACAGAGCGGAAGGGATAGGGAAAGAGATAGAAATCATCAATGATGAAAATCACTGATTGGCTGCCCTCTGTATGCCCCATATTGGGGATTGAGCCCACAACCCCGGCATATGCCCTGACTGAGAATTGCATCAGCGACCTCCTAGTGTATGGGAAGACCCTCAACCAATTGAGCCATACCAGCTGGGCTAATTTTTATTTTCAATATGTGTTATAAAATTTTTTCAGCCCTAGCTGGTTTGGTTCAGTGGATAAAGTTTTGACCTGCGTATTGAAGGGTCCCGGGTCCGATTCCGGTCAAGGGCATGTACCTTGGTTGCAGGCTTGATTGCAGGCTGGATCCAGGTAGTGGTTGGGTGTGTGAGGGAGGCAACCACTCGATGTGTCTCTTTCACATCGAGGTTTCTCTCCGTCTCTTCCCCTCCATTTCACTCAATCAATGAAAAGATATCCTCAGGTGAGGATTGACCAAAAGAATTTTTTTCGAAGAAAATTGCAGCCCTAGCCAGTTTGGCTCAGTGGATAGAGCATAGGCCTGCTAACTGAAGGGTCCCAGGTTCGTTTCTGGTCAAGGGCACATGCCTGGGTTGCCGGCTCGATCCCCAATAGGGGGCGTGCAAGAGGCAGCTGATCAATGATTCTCTCTCATCATTGATGTTTCTGTCTCTCCCTCTCCTTTCCTCTCTGAAATTAATATCTACACTAATAAAAGACAAAGATGCTAATTGACCATACCTTCACTATGCCCACCAGCCAATCAGAAGAGTATGCAAATTAACCCAACAAAGATGGCAGTTAATTTGCATACACAGGTGCCCAGCGAAGACTGAAGACAGTGTAGAAGGAAGCCAAGCACTGCAGAAGGGAGCCAAGCAG